TATATATATACTATATATATATATATATATATATATATATAACTCTATAACTGCGATAACTGTGTAGTTACGTCATTGAGTAAATAAAATCTGTCAGAATGTTGAGCGTGTCATGTGTTGTTGATTGCAGGGAGGTGTACGAAAATCTCGTGAAAGCGGGAAGAATCGTACCGCAGCCTGAGGTGCCTCCACCGACCGTGCCAATGGACTACTCTTGGGCCAGGGTGAGTCAACTGTGTTAACACTGTGTGCGTACTGTGATGCTACAGGTGTGTTCCTTCGCGTCAGTCACGTGTCCTGTTAGACTCATGTCACCACCCTTGTCACCTATGCTTTTCATGTATCCACTCATCTGTCCCACTATGGCCCTTCCTCTCTCTTTCTCTCTCCCTCTCGCTCTGTCTCTCTCCCTCTCCCACTCTGTCTCGCTTCTTCCCTCTCTCTCTTTCTCTCTCTCCCTCTCTCTCGCTTCTTCCATCTCTCTCTCTCCCTCTCCCTCTCTCTCATCATCTCTCTCTTTCCTCGTGTACAGGAGCTGGGCATCATCAGAAAGCCGGCATCGTTCATGACGAGCATCTGTGTCTGCCTGATCCTCTCCCTCCATCCTCCCTCCCTTCCTCTCCCCCTCCTCTCTCTCATCATCTCTCTCTTTCCTCGTGTACAGGAGCTGGGCATCATCAGTCTCTCTCATCATCTCTCTCTTTCCTCGTGTACAGGAGCTGGGCATCATCAGGAAGCCGGCGTCGTTCATGACGAGCATCTGTGTCTGCCTGATCCCCTCCCTTCCTCCTCCTTCCCTCCCTCTCCCCCTCCTCTCTCATCATCTCTCTCTTTCCTCGTGTACAGGAGCTGGACATCATCAGGAAGCCGGCATCGTTCATGACGAGCATCTATGTCTGCCTGATCCCCTCCCTCCCTCCTCCTTCCCTCCCTCTCCCCCTCCTCTCTCTCATCATCTCTCTCTTTCCTCGTGTACAGGAGCTGGGCATCACCAGAAAGCCGGCGTCGTTCATGACGAGCATCTATGTCTGCCTGATCCCCTCCCTTCCTCCCTCCTCCCTCCCTCCTTCTCCCCCTCCTCTCTCTCATCATCTCTCTCTTTCCTCGTGTACAGGAGCTGGGCATCGTTCATGACGAGCATCTGTGTCTGCCTGATCCCCTCCCTCCCTCCTCCTTCCCTCCCTCTCCCCCTCCTCCTTCCCTCCCTCTCCCCCTCCTCTCTCTCATCAGCTCTCTCTCTCTTTTTCCTCGTGTACAGGAGCTGGGCATCATCAGAAAGCCAGCGTCGTTCATGACGAGCATCTGTGACGAGAGAGGACACGAGCTTCTCTACGCGGGCATGCCCATCACTGAGATCTTTGAGCAGGAAATGGGCATCGGCGGAGTGCTCAGCCTCCTCTGGTTCCAGAGAAGGTAACCATGAGTCGCTACGGCAACCGTTGGAGGCGATGGCTTCGCGTTTGGCGTGCCCTCGGCTGACCCGTTGAAATTCTCTTGAGATGAATAATCTATCT